CCAGGACACCCAGGTCCCTCTCCGCAGAGCTCCTCTCCAGCAGCTCATCCCCCAACCTGTACCAGTGCATGTAATTATTCCTCCCCAGATGCAAGACTCTACACTTGCTTTTGTTAAACCTCAAGGTCCCGATACAGGTCTCCATGGAGGTCCCTGTGAAGCTCTTTGGAGAAGTCCTCGTGGAGATCCCTATCGAGGTCTCTGTGGATGTCCCTGTAGAGGTTCCTACAGAGGTATTTGTAGAGGTCCTTGTAGAGGTCTCTGTAGAGATCCTCATTAAGGTCACTGTTGAGGTCTTTATAGAGGGACCTCTTCTGTAGAGGTCTCTGTAGAGGTCCCTATGGTTGGGTCTGTGTAGAGATTTTTGCAGTGCTCCCTGTAGAGATCTTAGTAGAGCCCTCTGTAGAAGTCCATATAGGGGCCTTCTCTTCGTCCCTGACATCTCCTGCTCCACAGGAGTCACCTCTGAGCTGTCGACAAAATGTGTGTGGAAGCCGTAGTGCCTTCATGCGGACATGAGGAATGGGTTTCATTTCCACCAGTGCCCAGGAAGGAGCAGCTCTGGGACCCTTGTAGCACCATGGGGCTGAGGTGAGGGACCAGGACACCACGACGAGGACTCCAACCTCATCTCTGCTGCCCTCTGGAATCTGGTGGCCATGGATGGCAGGATCTGGTGGCCATGGGTATCAGGATCTGGTGGCCGTGAATGGCAGAATCTGGTGACCACAGGTGGCAGAATCTGGTGGCCTTGAATCACAGGATTTGATGGCCATGAGTGGCAGGATGTGGTGGCTGTCAGTGGCAGAATCTGGTGGCCATGGATAGCAAGATCTGGTGGCTGCTGATGTCAGGATCTGCTGGCCATGAGTGGCAGAATCTGGTCACCATGAGTGATAGGATCTTGTGGCTTTGGTTCTTGGGATCTGTTGGCCGTTAATCACAGAATTTGATGGCCATGAGTGGCAGGATCTGGTGGCCATAGGTGTCACAATGTGGTGGCCACACTGAGCCACCACACCCAAGCTGGGGCAAGCTGGGTCTAGGTTGGCTCCATGGCCCAAGGCTCCTCTCTGTGGTCACCACCAGAAGCTCCAGTCTCACACAGCTCCTGGATGGACGTGATCCCACGCGATCCAAACTCACCCCAAAACTCAGAACCTGGGCTTGTGGGATCCAGGGCTCAGCCTTCCTGCAGTCCTCAGGGGGCTGAAAATCACCACTGCAGGAACTCGTTGCCATGCTCACCGAGACGAAGCCAACCTCCTGCTGCTCTGCTGTTGGAGGAAATGTCACTGCTGGTCTTACAGCGCACTTCTTCTCTCTTCGCTCTCATTAAAAAAAAAAACAAAAACCACAAAACAACAAAAGAAACCACGGAACTGTGGAAAATAAATCCTGTCTTCCTTTGGTAGCATTTGGGTTGCAGACGGCGATGGGATTCGTCACCCATCTGGTGGGGACTGCAGCCTCAGGGAGCCCTGTGAGCTCATCACAGCATTTTCTCATTCCCTGGAGCCCACAGAATCCTTTTTTCTGGTGGATTTCTGGTCCTCAACGCCAGGTTGGGCTGCAGAGCCGTCCTCCACACAACGCTCCTCTCAACAGGATGTTCAGAAGCTGCTGCTATTTCACCTGAAAAACAGAAGATTTTCATTGAAAACAGGAAGGCTTGTTACCTCCCTCTCCTCTTGCTTATCCCCCCTTTGTCTTGGTTTTCTCTGCTTCGTTTGCTGCTGCTGCTAATTGGAGGGAGTGCCCTGGGAGCAGCCTTTTGAGGAGACAAGAAGCCAACCAGAGAGAAATACCTGGTGTAGAAATCTGGTGTTTTGTGGATCTTTGCAGCTCTGACACCAAAAGCGTGGTCAAGAAAAGGGATTTGGGCTTCACCCACGGCTGACGTTGTCCTGTTTTGATTTTGATGTGGTGAATTCTGTCCCTCTGCGCATCCTTTGGTCACATCATCAGCGAAATTTCAGGTGGAGAGCAACAATGTTGAGTGCAGAGGATCACCAGAGGACCCCTGAACCAAACCCTACAGCTCTGGGATATTTATAAGAATAATTCTGCGTTAACAAATCCTTGGGAACGGCAGAATTGCAACCAAAGTGCAGCGAAGCCTTAAAATGGGGATCTCAGCCCATCTCCCCACGGATCGATTTCGGTATCAATTAGCAAAGCACACGGTTTTATGGTGATTTTTCTGGTGCCAGGCATGTTGCCAGGACCCTGCAACAATCCGGTGGGTTCCTGGGCTGCTTGGCATGGTGGTGGCACACAGGGATGGGCATCCAACGTCCCTCTCTCTTGGTGGAGTGTTTCAGGGTGGTTTGGCACGGGATGGGAATCCTAAAGGGATGGGAGAAGCCATAGGGGAGGGAGGTGAGGAAGAGTGCGGGGCAGAGCGATGCGGTGGGAGTATGGGGGTTCAGTGGGGAGGGATGTTGGAAAAATGGGGGATGTGTTGGAACAGTTGGGGTCGTGTTGAAAAAACGGGGATCACGTTGGAAAAGTTGGGGTGATGGAAAAATTGGGGTCACATTGAAAGAGTTGGGATCGAATAGGAGAAATTGGACTCGTGTTGGAAAAATTGGAGAAATTGCATTGGAAAAAAAATGGAGTTTTGTTAGAGAAATTGGGATTGCATTGGAAAAGTTGGGGTTTTATTCGAGAAATTGGGGTTGCATTGGAGAAACTGGGGTTGTATTGGAAAAACTGGGGTCACTTGAAGAATCGGAGTCACGCTGAATAAGTTGGAGTTATGTTGGAGAAATTGAGATTGCAATGGAAAAAATGGTGTTGTGTTGGAAAAATGGGGGTTGTCATGTTGGAAAAACGGGGGTTGTATTAGAGAAACTGGGGTTTTACTGGAAGTGTTGGGGTTGTATGAGATAAATTGGGGTCACAGTGGAAAAAAAATAGGGTTCTGTTGAAGAAATTGGGGTTGTGGTAGAGAAATCGGGCTTCATTTGGAGAAATTGGGGTTATGATGAAAAAATTGGTGTTCTGTTGGAGAAATCGGAGTTGCATTGGAAGGAACAGGGTTGTGTTGGAGAAACTGGGGTTGCATTGGAAGTGTTGGGGTCACACTGGAGAAATTCCAGTCACATTGGAAAAATGGGGGTCCCTACCCTTGGGGAGAAGAAACCCATGGCCAACTGAGCCCTTAGAGCTGCACGTGTTGGGCACAAGCCACTGTATCACCCTGGTGGCACCCCGTAGCATCCCTCAACTTTGTCCCCCAGGTTTTTCTGCTGCAAGTTGCACCTTTAGTAGAGATTTCAACCCCAGAGGCGATGGTGGTACAACCCAAAAAGGTGCTGGACCCACAGTGGATGTTGCGTGAAGCCCTTTCCCCCGATGCTCCTTCCATAAGGCTCTTCTCGCTCCTCTTCTCAAATCCCGAAGGTTTCTCAGCATGTTAGAAGCTGATCATTGGGATGAAGAGCACGGAGTTGGCAGGAGCATTGGGATCAAGGCACGGAACTGGAAGGATCTTTGCGATCCAGAGGACCTGGTCCTAAAAATGCTGCAGGATTCACCCGCTTGGTCATCTTGTAGCTGTGGTTGCAGTTCAAGGGGAAACGATTCCTCCACTCGGAATGTGGGATTCGGGTTTCTGCAGCGCATTTGGTGCTGCCTGAAGACGCCCCAGTGCTTTGGGTGGAGGTCATTGAGGAGCTCCGTGCTGTCGAGTTTGGGCAGCTTTGGTCCTCTTGGAGGCATCTTCATGCTTAGTGCCTCCTCTGGCCCTTTGTGTGGTGTTTCGATGGGAATTGTTGGGTCGGTAATGACCCAAGGGATGGGAATGGGGAGGGACAAAGAGGTCAACAGCCCAGCGAGTGGTGGAGGTGAGGTTTTGGGGAGAGGGAGGAGGAGATGCTGGGATGCAGAGGAGGGGTTCAACCTGGGCTGAGTGGGAGAATCGTTAAGGTTGGAGAAGACCTCCAAGATCACCAAACCCAACCCCAGCCCACTCCACCATGTCTGCTGACCATGCCCCACGTGACACATCGCTGCGGTTCTTGAGCCCCTCCAGGGGTGGTGACCTCTTCACGATCCTGCGCAGGAGTGCATCGCTGCTCCTTCACAGAACAAATTTTCCCCCATATCCAACCCAACTTTCCCCAAATGAACACCCACCCCATTGCTTGTCCCCATTGGACAGCTGAGCTCACCCACAATCACAAACTGGACATGATTGGGTCTTCCTGCTGTCCCACAACTGGCAGGGTTGGAGATCTCCAGGAAGACACCCCAACCCCTCCAATCCCCATGCCCCCAAAGGTTCCTATGGGGTCATCCTCACCCCCTCCTACCCTTTTACCCGCAGGACGTCCTCGCTGCGCTGGAACGCCGGCACCAAGGAGCGGATGCTGATCAAGGTGACGGACCGTGAGCCCAGCTTCCTGCTGCACCAGGGCAACGGCTTCGGCCCCGACGCCGCTCCATCCGCGCGCTCCCGCCGTCCCTCGGGGGGTCAGCAGTCCCCCAACCTGCAGAGCTTCGCCCCCGACTCCGACAACTCCGTCTTCTTCCCGGAGAGAAAACCATCGCCCTACCTGAAGAGGGCTGAGCTGGCTGGGAGCTGCTCGCCTCTGCTGGGTCGGGGCGATTCCTTCTGCTCCCCGCTGCAGAGCCAACACCACCGCAAAGCGTCGAGCGAATCGCAGCCCTCATCGCCGCGCTACGCCTACGAGCCGCCGCTCTACGAGGAGCCCCCCATGGAGTACCAAGCGCCCATCTACGACGAACCCCCCGTGGACATGCAGTACGAGGCCGGCGGGGGCTACAAAGCCGCTTCCCCCCAGAAATCGCCCATCCGGAAGCCTCACCCCTTCCTCCAGTCACCCAAGCAAGGCTCCAACTCGCCCTACCAGCAGCTGGTGCTCACCAAGCAGAAGTGCCCCGATCGTTTCATGAGCCTGGAATACAGCCCGGCGGGCAAGGAGTACGTCCGACAGCTGGTCTACGTCGAGCAGTCGGGCTCCAGCCCCAAGATGAAATCGGGGCCACGCCACAAATACTCCCCCAACCCCATCGGGGGTTCCTACTCGCTGCAGCACAGCCCCTGCCTCCTCCGCGAGCAGCGCGCGGACCTCAAATCGGGCGACTACAGCAGCATGGAGGCGGCCGACTTCTGCCCCGACGACTCCATGTCGTGGTCCAGCCAGCAGGACACCATGTCCTCCACCGGCTACTCGCCCTCCAACAGGAAGAGGAAGAGCCGAAAGCCTTCGCTGCCCCACCACGAACCCAACACTCCGTCGGCGGAAGGGGAGCGGGACGGGGCGGACGAGGAGCGGTGCGGATCCGCGCGCGCCCAACTCAACCGAGCGGAGAGCAAAGCGGTGGAAGCAGAGGGGGAAGCGGCGAGGGGATTTGCTGAGCCCTTCCTGGCACAAGCACGCCTGGCTTGGGAAGCCCAGCAAGCCCACTACCACATGAAGCAGCGCAGCAGTTGGGATTCCCAAAAGGACGGATCGGGCTATGAGAGCGACGGGGCTCTGCCGCTGCCCATGCCGGGCCCCGTGGTGCGCGCGTTCAGCGAGGACGAGGCGCTGGCGCAGCAGGACAGCAAGCACTGGAAGAGGAACACCTTTGAGAAGTTGGGTTTCCCTCAGATCCTGCTGGAGAAGAGCGTCTCCGTGCAGACCAACTTGGCGTCCCCCGAGCCCTACCTGCATCCATCGCAGGTAATGAGGGGTGTGGTCCCGGTTTCTGGGGGTTCAGGGGTGGCCCCGAGTGGTTGGGGTGACTCAGAGTGTTTGGGGATGTCCCTGGTGTCTGGGGGTGTCCTTGGGTTTTAGGGTTGTCTCTGGTGGTTGGGGATGTCCACAAGTGTTTGGGGTGTCCCTGGATTTTGGGATGTCCACAAGTGTTTGGGGTGCCCCTGGTGGTTGGGGCTGTCCTCAAGAGTTTGGGGTGTCCCTGGTGGTTGGGGATATCCACGAGTGTTTGGGATATTCCTGGATTTTGGGATGTCCCCAAGCGTTTGGGGTGCCCCTGGTGTTTGGGGCTGTCCTCAAGAGTTTGGGGTGTCCCTGGTGGTTGGGGATGTCCACAAGTGTTTGGGGTGACCATGAGTGTTTGGGAATTTACCTTGTGTTTGGGGTTGTCCTTGGATTTTAGGGGTGCCCCTGGTGGTTGGAGATGTCCACAAGTGTTTGGGGTTCTCCTGGTGGTTGGAGGTGTCCCAGTTTTTTGGGGGTGTTCTTGGGTTTTGGGCCTATCTCTGGTGGATATTTGGGGGTGATCTTGATGTCTGGGGGTATCCTTGAGGTTCAGGGGTGGCCCCGAGTGGTTGGGGTGACCCAGAGTGTTTGGGAATGTTCCTGGTATCTGGGGGTGTCCTTGGGTTTTAGGGTTGTCCCTGGTGGTTGGGGATGTCCACAAGTGCTTGGGGTGTCCCTGGACCTGGTGGTTGGGGATGTCCACAAGTGCTTGGGGTGTCCCTGGATTTTGGGGGTGTCCCCAAGCGTTTGGGGTGCCCCTGCTGTTTGAGGCTGTCCTCAAGAGTTTGGGGTGTCCCTGATGGTTGGGGATGTCCACAAGTGTTTGGGGTGTCCCTCGATTTTGGGATGTCCCCAAGCGTTTGGGGTGCCCCTGGTGTTTGGGGCTGTCCTCAAGAGTTTGGGGTGTCTCTGGTGGTTGGGGATGTCCACAAGTATTTGGGGTGACCATGAGTGTTTGGGAATTTACCTTGTGTTTGGGGTTGTCCTTGGATTTTAGGGGTGCCCCTGGTGGTTGGAGATGTCCACAAGTGTTTGGGGTTCTCCTGGTGGTTGGAGGTGTCCCCATTGTTTGGGGGTGTCCTTAGGTTTTGAGGGTGTCCCTTGTGGTTGGGGTGTCCTTGCATTTTGGCCATGTCTCTGGTGGATGGGGTGGCCCCAAGTATTTTGGGGGTGACCTTGATGTCTGGGGGTGTCCTTGGGCTGTGGGAGTGTCCCTGGTGGTTGGGGATGTCCCCCAGTGTTTGGGGTGTCCTTCATGGTTGGGGAGAACCTGAGTGCTTGGGAGCATCTCCAGCCTTTGGAACACCCTTGGAATTTAGGGTTGTCCCCAAATTTTAGGGGTGTTCTCGGTGTTTGGGGGTGTCCCTGGTTGTTTGGAAACATCCTTCGTGGTTGGGTATGTCCCCCAACATTTCCAGCATTTGGGAACACCGTTGGTATTTGGAGTTGTCTCCAACATTTGGGGGTGTCCATGGTGTTTGGGAACGTCCCCAGTTTTTGGGGGTGTTCCTGATGTTTAGGTCATTCTTCATCCTGTGACTTTCTCTCACCTTTCACTCTCCCTATCCTCGGACCTTTTCCATTCTGTCACCTTCTCCATTTTATGACCTTTTCCATCTTATTACCTTCTCCACCCGATGTCCTTCTCCATTTTATGACCTTCTCTATCTAATGACCTCTTCCATCCTATGATCTCCTCCATCCTATGACCTCCTCCACCCTATAAGCTTCTTCATCCAATGTTCTTTTCCATCCTGTGATCACCTCCTCTCTCCTATGACTTCCTCCATCTGATGACCTCATCCATCCCATGACTTTCTCTATTTTAGGATCTCCTCCACCCTATAACCTTCTCCATCCTATGACCTCCTCCATCCTATGACCTCATCCACCCTATAACCTTCTTCATCCTATGACCCCATCCACCCTATGACCTCCTCCACCCTATAACCTTCTCCACCCTATGACCTCCTCTGTCCAGTGACCTCCTCCATCTGATGACCTCCTCCATCTTATGACCTCATCCACCCTATCACCCCCTCCATCCTATAACCTTCTCCATCCTATGACCTCATCCACCCTATGACCTCCTCCACCCTATAACCTTCTTCATCTTATTACCTCATCCACTCTATAATCTTCTCCATCCAGTGACCTCCTCCATCCAATGACCTCCTCCCTCCTATGACCTTGTCCACCCTATGACCTCCTCCACCCTATAACCTTCTCCACCCTATGACCTCCTCCGTCCAGTGACCTCCTCCATCTGATGACCTCCTCCATCTTATCACCTCGTCCACCCTATGACCCCCTCCATCCTATAACCTTCTCCATCCTATGGCCTCATCCACCCTATGACCTTCTCCATCCTATAACCTTCTTCATCCTATGACCCCATCCACCCTATGACTTCCTCCATCCTATAACCTTCTCCACCCTATAACCTTCTCCACCCTATGACCTCCTCCACCCTATGATCTCCTCCATCTGATGACCCCCTCCGCCTTATGACCCCCTCCATCCTGTGCCCCCTTCCCCCCTACTTCCTCCTCTCCTCCCTAACCACGCTCTCCTGTCTGTACCTTCAGTCTGAGGACCTGGGTGCCTGCGCCCAGTTTGAGAACAGCCGGCAGACCAGGAACATGATGCCCAGCGCCAGCTGCGTCTTCCCCACCTTCAACCTCCGCAAACCCTCCTCGGAGACGGACATTGAGAACTGGGCCTCCAAGCACTTCAACAAGCACACGCAGGGGCTCTTCCGCCGAAAGGTCTCCATAGCCAACATGTTGGCGTGGAGCAGCGAGTCCATCAAAAAGCCCATGATCATGACCAACGACCGCAACGTCAAGAAGGAGGCGTGTGAGATCTTCAAGCTCATCCAGATGTACATGGGCGACCGGCGAGCCAAGACGGACCAACTCAACGTGGCCTTGGAGATCGCCACCAAAGGGTGGAGCATGCAGGGCCTGAGGGATGAGCTCTACATCCAGCTGTGCAGGCAGACCACCGAGAACTTCCGATACGAGAGCCTGGCGCGCGGCTGGGAGCTCATGGCCATTTGTTTGGCCTTCTTCCCACCCACCCCCAAATTCCATTCCTATCTCGAAGGATATATTTACAGGCACATGGACCCGGTGAATGACACCAAAGGTAAGAGGGATCCCAATGCTGGTGGCTTTTGGGCCCACCTGCAACCCGGTTTTGGTTTTTTGGCCCTTCACGCGCGTTGTGTCCTTGGTGAAACGTGGCACAGTGTGTTGCCCAGAGGCTGTGAGGTGGCACCAACCCCATTACACAGCATGAGATGAACATGGACGCCTCCACTTACGGGGCTTGCTCAGTTTTGGGTGACTCCATGGTCCAGTTTTGCATCCCTGCTCTGTAAAGTGAGCTTTGGGATGACCACATCTTGGAGGTCCACCAAACCCATTGCCTCTCCTCGTGGGTGGTGCCCAGTGGGGTCGCAGCATCTTAGAGGGATGGAGGTTGGTAGCATCTCAGGGTCTGTCTGGTCCAACGTCCCCACGCTGACAGGGACACCCAGGGACACTCTGCCCCGTGGCCAAGCAGAGCTGAAGATCCCCAGGAGATCCCTGGTGACCTTGTGCCCTGGTGGCCTGTTCTCCTGGTGGCCTTGTGGTCTGGTAGCCTGGTGGCCTGGTTTGCTGATGGCGTTGTGCTCTGGTGGCCCAGTCCCCTGGTGAACTTGTGGCCTGGTCCACTGGTGGCTTGGTGCCCTGGTGACCCGGTCCTCTTGCAGCCTGGTTCCCTGGTGGCCTTGTGACCTTGTGCCCCAGTGCCATGGTGGCCTGGAGACGTAATGGCATGGTCCCCTGGTGGCCTTGTGCCCCTGGTGGCCTTGTGCCCCTGGTGGCCTTGCAGCCTTATACCACAGTGACCCGGTGGCCGTGAGACGTGCCATGGTGACCTGGTGGCCATGCCCAACTGGGGACAACATCCCCCCGAAACCACAGGACCCCACAGACCCCCAGCTCCCCACAGCAGAGGTACCACCATCTCATTTTGTCCCCATGCCACTGTCCACCACCGCTACCACCACCACCTCTGGCTCAAAAACCACCACTGCCAACACAACTGACCCAAAAACCATCACCACCATCACCACCAACCCAAAAACCACCATCGACACCACCACCAACCCAAAAAACACCACTACCAACAGCACACCACCATCATCACCGACCCAAAAACCAACAGCAACCCCAAAACCACCAACAGCAACCCAAAAACCACCAACAACAACAACCCAGAAACCACCACCAACCCAAAAACCATCACCACCACCAGCTACTCCACCAACACCACCACCACTGATTCAAAAACCACCAACAACAACCCAAAACCCACCACCACCACCGACCCAAAAACCACCAACAACCCAAAAATCATGACCAACACCACCATCACTGATCCAAAAACCACCAACAACAACAACCCAAAACCCACTACCACCACTGACCTAAAAACCAACAACAACAATCCAAAAATCACCACCAACACTACCAACCCAAAAACCACCACTACAATCAAAACAAAAATCACCACCACCAACCCAAAAACCAACAACAGCCCCAAAATCACCACCACCACCAATGCAAAAACCACCACCATCAACAACCCAAAAATCACCACCACCACTGATCCAAAACCCACCACCAACAACCCCAAAACCAACACCACCAACACTACCACCACCATCCACCATCTACAGCAACCCAAAAATCACCACCACCGCCACCGACAACCCAAAAACCATCACCACAACCAACAACAACCCAAAAAACAATAACAACCCAAAAACCACCACCACCACCAACAACAACAACCCCAAAATCACCACCACCACCACCAATGCAAAAACCACCACCATCAACAACCCCAAAACCACCACCACCACCAATCTAAAACCCACCAACAACCATCCCAAAACCAACACCACCACCAACCCCAA